CCAGTGGTCACGACGGCAACATACTGGGACAAAATGATCCACCTGCAGTCCAGCCAACCTGCACATGCCACTTTTCAGGTATGAATGTCAACAAAGGGGAAAGTGACAACTGTCAATTGCCAGATATGGTCAATAAGGTCAGACACCCCTTTTCTCAAAGGATGTCACCGCCCAAGGACAGCCCCTCCTTGACAAGTTTCATGATGGGCCTAATAGTAAGGATGTCTAATTAAGCCTATCACGGTGAAACACATCAAGGATGGCCAGTCCCTGGTTGGGGACATCCTATCTGCTGTCATGTATGCTTATGGCTGAAGAAAGGCATCCAGTGGAACTTGCCTTACCGTTATGCAGCTTTTGTTATATTGTCTATATTATGAGCATGAACAGGCTTCTTTGCTGGCACCGAGGGCCCACAGTAAAGGAGAGGCTTCAGTCTGCAGTGATGCTTATCATTTTTGGATAATGCTACACACACCTTTGTTTAATTCTGTTCACAGCGCAGCAGTGGCAACGTGGCTAATGTGGGTTGGTGGGACTGTGTGCAGAGCGTTGTTTTGGGTGTCAACGTGACTGGTGTGCATTGCTGGATCTTTTGGGATTTTTTTTCACCCTTTCATAAGAGGGGAGTCTGATATAAGGAGACCCCCTTAAAGACCAGATTCCAATAAGCTCCCAGCCTGCAGACCCCCCACAACCAATATGAATATTAACCTATGGCCGAATGGCATCCGGAAAAATGTACTAGCTTTCCGGGAGGCCGCCATATGGCGTCCTCCCGCACATGCACAGTTCGCGTGTTTGCAAAGCCGCGCAGCGGCGCGATCTGTCACCGGCCGTGTACCTCGGACACGGCCGATGACAGATCTGAGTACCGGCCCCAGTTGCCGGTACCATGTGACCTGCTGTGATTGGTCACATGTGACCAATCACAGCAGGTCACATGACAGTTGTATACAACGGATGGCTTCATTCATGCCATCCATTGTATACTAGTGTCTAGCTGTGAATGGTCACAGCTAATCACATGCACATGTCATGTGATTAGCTGTGGCCAAATCACAGCTAAGCACAAAAAAAAAAAAAAACCCTGAATGAATCGATGTTATTCAGGTAAATGCTTGCTTATAGCAAAGTAATTCTTTGCTATAAGCAAATTGTGTAAAAAAAAAAAAAAAAAATACTGATCACTTCCCCAAAGTAGTACAATGTTACTATGGTAACATTGTACTACTTTGGACATAGTGAAATATGAAAAAAAAATCTTAAATTTTTTTTTAAAAAATGTAATAAAAAATTTAAATAATAATAAAAAAAAAAATATATATATATATATATTTTTTTTCCACACTGTCACCAGTGTCCCTGATCACCGCCATGCCAGTTATATGATGATGCTGTACTGCAATGGTGACAGTATGTAAAAAAAAAATAGTGAAAATAATTTTTTTGATTTTTTCATTTAACAAAAAATTATGACAAAAAAAATACAACTTCAAAAAACTTGCCATGCCTCTTATGAAGTACATCGGACTGTCTACTTTGCAAAAAGGGTCATTTGGGGGATATCTGTACTATTCTGACATTCTTGGACCTCAAGAAATTAGATTGGCTGTCAGTACTTCAGGATTGATCAATATTCAGATCTATACCATAGTTTGTGAACTCTATAACTTTCCTACAAACTAAAAAATACATCCTAATTTGGGTTATTTTCACCAAAGACATGTAGCAGAATACATCTCGGCCTAAATTTATGAAGAACAATTATTTATTTGCAAACTTTTATAACAGAAACAAAGAAAATTGTGGGGGTTTTTTTTCAAAATTTTTGGTCTTTTTTTGTTAATTTAGCAAAAAATAAAATTCCCAGTGATGATTAAATACCACCAAAAGAAAGCTCTAGTTGTGTGAAGAAAATGATAACATCTTAGTTTGGGTACAGTGTTGTATGACCGCGCAATTGTCATTCAAAGTGTGAGAGCGCTGAAACCTGAAAAATGGCCTGGGCAGGAAGGGGGTAAAATTGCCCGGTATTGAATTGGTTAAAGGGGAAGCCCACTTTTTTTTATGCTGGAGAGTTTCTTGTTATACACTGTTCAAAAAAATCAAAGGAACACTTTTTAATCAAGGTACAGCATCAAGTCAGTTAAACTCCTAGGATATTGATCTGGTCAGTTAAGTAGCAGAGGGGGTTGTTAATCAATTTCAGCTGCTTAGGTGTTAATGAAATTAACAACAGCTGCACTAGATGGGCAACAATGAGACGACCCTCAAAACAGGAATGGTATTACAGGTGGAGGCCACTGATATTTTTTTTCCCTACTCATCTTTTTCTGACTGTTTTTTCACTAGTTTTGCAATTGACTAGAGTCAGTGTCACTACTGGTAGCATGAGGCGATACCTGGACCCTACAGAGGTTGCACAGGCAGTCCAACTCCTTCAGGATGGCACATCAATACATGCCATTGCCAAAAGTTTTGCTGTGTCTCCCAGCACAGTCTCAAGAGCATCAAGGAGATTCCAGGAGACAGGCAGTTACTCTAGGAGAGCTGGACAGGGCCATAGAAGGTCCTTAACCCATCAGTAGGACCGGTATCTGTTCCTTTCTGCAAGGAAGCACATGATGAGCACTGCCAGAGCCCCACAAAATGATTTACAGCAGGCCACTGGTGTGAATGTCTCTGACCAATCAGAAAAAGACTTCATGAGGGTGGCCTGAGGGCCCAATGTCTTCTAGTGCACCCTGTGCACACTGCCCAGCACCATAGAGCTCGATTGGCATTTGCCATTGAACACCAGAATTGGCAGGTCCACCACTGGCACTCTGTGCTTTTTACAGATGAGAGCAGGTTCACCCTGAGTACATGTTATAGACGTGGAAGGGTGTGGAGAAGCTGTGGAGAATGTTATGCTGCCTGTAACATTGTTCAGCATGACTGTTTTGGTGGTGGGTCAGTGATAGTCTGGGGAGGCATATCCATGGAGGGACACACAGACTTCTACAGGCTAGAAAATGGCACCCTGACTGCCATTAGGTATCGGGATGAAATCCTTGGACCCATTGTCAGACCCTACTCTGCTGCAGTGGGTCCTAGGTTCCTCCTGGTGCATGACAATTCCTGGTATCATGTGGAGAGAGTATGCAGGCAGTTCCAAGAGGATGAAGAAACTGATACATTGAATGGACCCTACACTCACCTGACCTAAATCCAATAGAACACCTCTGGGATATCATGTTTCAGTCCATCCGACTCCGCCAGGTTGCACCTCAGACTGTCCAGGAGCTCAGTGATGACCTGGTCCAGATCTGGAAGGAAATACCCCAGGACACTATTCATTGTCTCATTAGGAGTATGCCCCGACGTTGTCAGGCATGCATACAAGCATGTGGGGGCCATACAAACTACTGAGTATCATTCTGAATTGCTGCAATGAAATTTCAGCAAAATGGACTAGCCTGCTGCATAATTTTTTCACTTTTATTTTCGGGGTGCCTTTAAATTCAGTCCTCTGTAGGTTGATAATTTTCATTTCCGTCAAACGATGGGGCATCCTTACGTTCTTAACACATTAGCCAGTTCATAACAGTATAGATATCCAGCATGATATTTTTCCCCAGTAAGATCTGATGTGTTTTCAAAGTGTTCCTTTAATGTTTTTGAGCAGTAATTATATCATACCCACACCCAACCTAATTTTTCTAAACACAAATAAGGAAAGAGAAAGTGATCTCATAGGATGTAGTGTGAAAATGCACATAAAAAAAATGCACATGAAAATTGTTCACTGCAATGTGCATTAAAACCTGATCTATTCATTTAAGAATGGGCAGATGATTGAATGGTCTGCTCCCTCCATTCATAGATTTCTTTCCATTCATATAAGTTGTAATAGCTTCTATGAATAGAGGAGCTGGGTGCAAAGGGTAGGAATAGTCAGGCACTCGATGCTCCCACAGTTCTATTAACCCCCATCATGTGGGAAGATTGCGGCAGCGGGGATGGGGGACAGACAGAGTAAGATTTCACCTACTGACTGTAAGTTATGTTCCTTGAGCTAAATTTTGTGTTTTTTATTTTGATTGCGCAACAGGCTTCTCACGCTCTCCTCTTCTCTCAGATGCTCTGGGTTGTGGGCAGGCCAATGCCAGCCTCACGTACATTGCAGGACTACTGATCCTACATTGTACTTGATGACATCAACGAGTGCCAAAGAGAAAAGGTTTTGGGGATCGGTCACATAACATGGAGGAAGCCTGCCTGGATAAGGGATAAGATAAACATTACAGCTTGTGCCGCTAACCCTAGACATAAACTTTTAGCCCTTGCATTGGGATAAGACTCCACCGACCTGAACAACTTAAGACCCATCTCCCTACTGCCATTTACCTCTAAACTCCTAGAACACTTAGTCTATAATCGCCTGAGCTCCCACCTCACCGACAACAACCTTCTCGACCCTTTACAGTCTGGCTTCCACCCCCTACAATCCACTGAAACTGCCCTACTCAAAACTCACCAACGACCTACTAACTGCCAAAACCAATGGTCACTATACATTACTCCTACTTCTCAACCTCTCTGCGGCTTTTGATACGGTTGACCACCCCCCTCCTCTTCAAAAAACTACACTCTCTTGGCCTCAGAGACTCCGCTCTCTCCTGGTTCTCCTCCTATCTATCGCAGCACTCCTTCAGTGTTACCTATAATGCTGCCACCTCCTCTTCACTCCCTCTCTCTGTTGGGGTCCCTCAAGGTTCTGTCCTCGGACCCCTTCTCTTCTCCATCTACACCTCCTCCCTTGGCCAATTGATAAACTCCCACGGCTTCAATTACCATCTCTATTGACGACACACAAATCTATCTCTCTACCTATCCCCTCACCCCTTCAGTCTCTACTCGTATCACTAGCCTACTAAGTGACATATCGGATTGGATGTCACTCCACTTCCTCAAACTCAATCTTTCCAAAACTGAGCTCCTAGTATTCCCCCCAGCCCGTGCCCCCCCCCCCCCCCGACTTCTCCATCAAGATCAACAACACTATCATCAGTCCCACCCCTCATGCCAGGCTACTAGGTGTCATCCTAGACTCCAATCTGTCCTTTCAGGCCCAGGTCCAATCGCTGACAAACTCGTGTAGACTTCACCTCCGCAAGATCTCCAAGATACGACCGTTCCTAACCTTGGAAACCACTAAGCAACTCATTCACTCCCTTATTCTATCACGCCTCGACTACTGTAACTCCCTCCTCACTGGCCTACCTCATCGCAGGCTATCCCCACTTCAGTCTGTCATGAATGCTGCTGCCATACTCATCCACCTTACTAACCGTTCTGTATCTGCCACCCCTCTCTGCCAATCCGTCCACTGACTGCCCATTGCCCAACGGATAAAATTCAAAACACTTACACTGACGTATAGAGCCATTCATAACACTGTCCCAAATTACATCACCGATCTTGTCTTTAAATATCACCCAAACCGTACTCTCCGCTCCTCCAAAGACCTCCTACTCTCTAGCTCCCTTGTCTCCTCCTCCCATGCTCATCTCCTGGACTTCTCCAGGGCTTCCCCCATCCTCTGGAACTCCCTACCCCAATCTATCAGACTATCGCCTACTCTGCTCACTTTTAGGCGCACTCTGAAAACCTATCTCTTCAGGGAAGCCTACCCCACCCTCGGCTAATACTGGAATCCTCTACTCTTCCAACCACTCCATCCCCCACAGTCATTACCTGTTGTACCACTATCCCCTCCCTCCTAGATTGTAAGCTCCAAGGAGCAGGGTCCTCAAATCCCTCTTGTATTGAACTGTATTGTTACTGTACTGTCTCCCACCATAATGTAAAGCGCTGAGCAAACTGTCGGCGCTATATATATCCTGTATAATAATAATAATAATAAGTCCTCACTTCAAGTGTAATTTTTCTGGTGCCCGGAATTGAGATTTAAGATATTTTGGCTGAAAATTGCACCTTTCTTCAGACCAACATCTCATGTCAATGGATAGCTGAACAGTATGCAGAAAACAGCAACAAAGCAGGTCACAGGCAGATGGTGTGATATAGTATACTATCTGGCTGGCCAGGCAAGGAAACATTATATAATTTTGTATCTCATACTGTATAAACGAACGTATTGTTGCTTAAGGGATATATTTCCCAGTGAGGCTACAGCTCAAGACCAGTCATTTAGTCCTGAATTAAAACGGTGTTTATATGTTCAACAAAATAATAAAAAAAACAGTTCACAGCTTTAGAGGATATAAAGGGGTTTTACAACTTTGTAAAGGATTGTGTTTTTGTACAGGAGCCACCATTCTAGTTAATAAGCAAAGTCCCAAAGGCCTCCTTGAGCATGAAGCTGCAATATCACATAGTGGAGAAAAGCTTCAGAGGTTGTTAATGCCTTAAACTTTTTGTGGAAAAAATTTAAGCATTATTAATGCATGCAATTTGGCCCTTGCAATTTAACACTTGGTTTTTCTAAATAGTACTCCTTTATTTTGGCTTTTAGATGTATGTCCAAAAATCAATCTGGTAGTTAGAATATACACTATGATAGAGATGTGTTTAGTTTCAAATTCATTAATTAAGCTAATCATTTTGTTTCATTATATGCGTTATGTTATAATGATTATTTTCTAAATTACTTTCTTATATATTTAGATTCATTTCAAATAGTATAAGTATTTGATTCCCTATCATTCAGCAGGATCTCTGGCTACCAGGTGTCTTTCATACAGGTAACAAGCTGAGATAAGAAGCAGTCTCTTAAAGGGAGTACTGCTAATCTCATTTTGTTACCTGTATAAAAGACATCTGTCCGCAGGAGCAATCAATCAGATTACAAACTCTCCACCATGGTGAAGACCAAAGAGCTGTTCAAGGATCTCAGGGACAAGATTGTAGGCCTACACAAGGCTGGACTGGTCTACAAAACTATCACCAAGCAGCTTGGTGAGAAGGTGACAACAGTTGGTGCAATAATTCACAAATGGAAGAAACACAAAACAACTGTCAGTCTCCCTAGGTCTGGTGCACCATGCAAGATCTCCCCTCGTGGAGTGTCAATGATCATGAGAACAGTGAGGAATCATCCCAGAACTACATGTGAGGATCTTGTCAATGATCTCCAGGCAGCTGGGACCACAGTCACCAAGAAAACAATTGGTAACACACTAGGCCGACAAGGATTAAAATCCTGCAGTGCCTGCAAGGTCCCTCTGCTCAAGAAAGTACATGTCCAGGCCCGTCTGAAGTTTGCCACTGAACATCTGAATGATGCAGAGGAGGACTGGTTGAAAGTATTGTGGTCAGATGAGACCAAAATCGAGCTCTTTGGCATCAACTCAACTTGCTGTTTGGAGGAGGAGGAATGCTGCCTATGACCCCAAGAACACCATCCCAACTGTCAAACATTGTGGTGGAAACATTCTGCTTTGGGGGTGTTTTTCTGCTAAGGGGACAGGACAACTGCACCGCATCCAAGGAATGATGGACGGGGCAATGTACCATCAAATTTTGGGTGAGAACCTTCTTCCCTCAGCCAGGGCATTGAAAATGGGTCGTGGATGGGTGTTCCAGCATGACAATGACCCAAAACACATGGCCAAGGCAACAACGGAGTGGCTCAAGAAGAAGCACATTAAGGTCCTGGAGTGGCCAAGCCATTCTCCAGACCTTAATCCGATTGAAAATCTGTGGAGGAAGCTGAAAGTTTGAGTTGCCAAACGTCAGCCACCAAACCTTAATAAATTGGAGAGGATCTGCCAAGAGGAGTGGGCCAAAATCCCTCCTGAGATGTGTGCAAACCTGGTGGCCAACTACAGGAAACGTCTGACCTCTGTGATTGCCAGCAAGGGATTTGCCACCAAGTACTAAGTCATGTTTTGTGAAGGGGATCAAATACTTATTTCCGTCATGAACATGCAAATCAGTGCATCATTTGTTAGACATGCATTTCTTTTGAATTTTTTGTTGCTATTCTGTCTCTCAATGTTACAATACACCTACCATTCGATTTTTAGACTGATCATTTCTTTGTGAGTGGGCAAACATTCAAAATCAGCAGGGGATCAAATACTTATTTCCTTCACTATATCTCTGCTAGTCCAACCCACAAAGAGAAATGGAATGAGCTGACTGGACAATATCGACTGGAGTCATATGCATCCTAAAAAACAAATGGAACAAAATTAATTCTGGATTAATTCATCATGTTTTGATTCAGAGATTCTGATGGATCCACCTCTTGAACATAATAAGTAAGAATCATCTTATTTCACTTTTACACCTTATTATATTAATTGCAATACGTTTCCATTTCTTGTAGTGTATGTATTTCATAATAATGAAAAATGTTAATGCAAAATTAATCGTTATGTCGTTATGTTATTTTGGTTCCTTCAAACATTAACAAAAGGCCCAAACTATTGCATTAAGTCATTCGATTTAAACAAATGAATTGGTTGGTTCGTCATCATTTATTCTGGATTAGTTGAAATTTGTAGCTATTGTGATTCGGAGATTTGTGCACATCCGAATCTATGAATAAGGAAAATTTTATCAGAATTTCGATTACCGTATATACTCGAGTATAAGCCGACCCGAATATAAGCCGAGGTACCTAATTTTACCACAAAAAACTGGGAAAAACTATTGACTCGAGTATAAGCCGAGGGTGGGAACACCAGTGGGAAGAATCGTGCCTCATCATTGGTGTCAGTGGGAGGAATAGTGCCCCATCATTGGTGTCAGTGGGAGGAATAGTGCCCCATCATTGGTATCAGTGGGAGGAATAGTGCCCCATCATTGGTATCAGTGGGAGGAATAGTGCCCCATCATTGGTATCAGTGGGAGGAATAGTGCCCCATCATTGGTGTCAGTGGGAGGAATAGTGCCCCATCATTGGTGTCAGTGACAGGAATAGTGCCCCATCATTAGTATCAGTGGGGGGAATAGCACCCCATCATTAGTATCAGTGGGGGGGAATATAGTGCAGTGGAATAGTGCCCATCTTTGGTGTCAGTGGGAGGAATAGTGTCCCATCATTGGTGACAGTGGGAGGAATAGTGTCCCAACATTGGTGTCAGTGAGAGGAATAGTATCCCATCATTGGTGTCAGTGGGGGAGTGGAGGAATAGTGCCCCATCGTTGGTGTCAGTGGGGGGGAGGAAAAGTGCCCCATCGTTTGTGTCAGTGGGGGGGAGGAATAGTATCCCATGATTGGTGTCAGTGGGGGGTGGGAATAGTGCTCCATGATTGGTGTCAGTGGGGGGTGGAATAGTGCCCCATCATTGGTGTGGGGGGGGGGGGGGGGAATAGTGCCCAATCGTTGGTGTCAGTGGGGGGGAGGAAAAGTGCCCCATCGTTGGTGTCAGTGGGAGGAATAATGCCCCATCATTGGTATCAGTGACACCAATGATGGGGCACTATTCCTCCCACTGACGCTTGCTGACCCCTGTTCCAATATGGTGCTGCTGCAGCCAGCATATGTGGTTGCAGCAGCACCTAAGCACGGCACACTTACCTGCATCTCCTTCACTCGATTTTCGCGGGGCCGCTCAGCTCCGCCTCCTCGCCGGTGATTGGCCGCCTGTGTGCCTTTCCTGAGCTACAGTTCTGGCGGCCAATCACCGGTGAGAAGGCGGAGCCGAGCAGCCACGCGAACATCCAGTGGACGAACCGAATGAAGGAGCAGCCGCGCTTCCTGGACCGGATCGTCGTGGGACCGGAGCCAGGTAAGAGACAGCAGCCCCCTGCCCACCCCTGTACTTACCGTAGTTTCCCTTCTGTTGGAAGGGGGGGGGGAGCTATCTGCAGACGTTGACTCGAGTATAAGCCAAGGGGGCCGTTTTTCAGCACAAAAAAAAATGTGCTGAAAAACTCGGCTTATACTCGAGTATATACGGTAACCACTTGAGCCCCAGAGGATTTACCCCCCTTAATGACCAGGCCCTTTTTTTGCTGTTTGGCGCTGCACTAATTCAAATGATAATTGTGCGGTTATGCAATGCTGTACCCAAACGAAATTTACGTCCTTTTTTTCACACAAATAGAGCTTTCTTTTGGTGGTATTTTATCACCTGTGCGCTTTTTATTTTTTTGCGCTATAAACAAAAAAAAACCACGAAAAGTTTGAAAAAAAAACCAATATTTTCTACTTTCAGCTATAAAAAATATATTGTAAACTCAAAGTTAGTCATAAATTTAAGCCAAAATGTATTCTGCTACATGTTTTTGGTAAAAAAAAATCCCAATAAGTGTATATTGATTGCTTTGTGTGAAAGTTATAGCATCTACAAACTATGGTATAGATCAGGGGTGGGCAAACTTTTTGACTTGAGGGCCGCAATGGGTTCATATATTGGACCCGGGGGCCGGACCAAGAGTAGATGAATGATGTGTATGTGTCATCCATAGTAAGTATAGTAATCATCCCCCATAGTAAGCATAGTAATTCATCCCCCATATAGTAATTCATAGTAATTCATCCCCCATATAGTAATTCATCCCCCATATAGTAATTCATCCCCCATAGTAATTCATCCCCCATATAGTAATATCATCCCCCATAGTAATTCATCCCCCATAGTAATTCATCCCCCATATAGTAATTCATCCCCCATAGTAATTCATCCCCCATATAGTAATTCATCCCCCATATAGTAATTCATCCCCCATAGTAATTCATCCCCCATATAGTAATTCATCCCCCCTATAGTAATTCATCCCCCATAGTAATTCATCCCCCCTATAGTAATTCATCCCCCTATAGTAATTCATTCCCCATATTAATTCATCCCCCATATTAAGTCCCCAAGTCCCCCCTGTGTCAATTCACTTACCTTTGCTCCACGCGTTCCTCTCGCCGTGTTCCCGCGCCGTTCCGGTGTAGCATGAAAATCTGTCTCCTATGAGGATCTGTCCCCCTCGACGTATCTGCGCATGTGCCAGTTTCAGGCATTAGCAGCCGATCGGCGATCTTCGGCACATGCGCAGATACGTCGAGGGGGACAGATCCTCATAGGAGACAGATTTTCATGCTACACCGGTCTTCAGGGCGGACTGTGAGAGGAGCCTAGCGGGAGCCTAGCTCCGCGGGCCGGATTAAAAGGTCTGCCGGGCCGTAGTTTGCCCATTGCTGGTATAGATACTGTAATGTATGCCTTTTTTTGCTATACAGCGCTGCACTAATTCAAATGATAATTGCGCGGTCATGCAATGCTGTACCCAAACGAAATTTATGTCCTTTTTTTCACACAAATAGAGCTTTCTTTTGGTGGTATTTGATCACCTGTGCGCTTTTTATTTTTTGCGCTGTAAACAAAAAAAACACGAAAATTTTGAAAAAAAACAATATTTTCTACTTTCAGCTATAAAAAATATATATATCGTAAACTCAAAGTTAGTCATAAATTTAAGCCAAAATGTATTCTGCTACATGTTTTTGGTAAAAAAAATCCCAATAAGTGTATATTGATTGCTTTGTGTGAAAGTTATAGCTTCTACAAACTATGGTATAGATACTGTAATTTATGCCTTTTTTTTGCTATACAGCGCTGCACTAACTCAAATGATAATTGCGCGGTCATGCAATGCTGTACCCAAACGAAAATTACATCCTTTTTTTCACACAAATAGAGCTTTCTTTTGGTGGTATTTGATCACCTGTGCGCTTTTTATTTTTTGCACTATAAACAAAAAAACACGAACATTTTGAAAAAAAAAACAATATTTTCTACTTTCAGCTATAAAAAATATATCGTAAACTCAAAGTTAGTCATAAATTTAAGCCAAAATGTATTCTGCTACATGTTTTTGGTAAAAAAAATCCCGTGCATTAGCGGGCAAACTGGCGCTATCTAGGAGGGGCGCTAACACTATCGGAAGTCACCAGTGACACTAATACAGTGATCAGTAAAAATCTGTTCACTGTAATCAATGACACTGGTGACAGGGCAGTGAAGGGGTTAACTGGAGGGGGGGAGGGGGGGGCGATCAAGGGGTTAAATGGGATTTCTGGTGCACTAGCGAGCAAACTGGCGCTATCTGGGAGGGGCGCTAACACTATCGGAAGTCGCGAGCGACACTGATACAGTGATCAGTAAAAATCTGTTCACTAATCAATGACACTGGTGACAGGGCAGTGAAGGGGTCAACTCAGGGGGGGGCGATCAAGGGGTTAGACAGGATTATTTGTGTATTAGTGGGCAATCTGGCGCTATCTGGGAGGGGCGCTAACACTATCGGAAGTCGCCAGCGACACTGATACAGTGATCAGTAAAAATCGGTTCACTGATCAGTGACACTGGTGACAGGGCAGTGAAGGGGTTAACTGGGGGGGGGATTAAGAGGTTAAATGGGATTACTGGTGTACTAGCGGGCAATCTGGCGCTATCTGTGAGGGGCGCTAACACTATCGGAAGTCGCCAGCGACACTGATACAGTGATCAGTAAAAATTGGTTCACTGATGAGTGACACTGGTGACAGGGCAGTGAAGAGGTTAACTGGGGGGGGCTATCAAGGGGTTAAACGGGATTACTGGTGTACTGGCAGGCAAACTGGCGCTATCTGGGAGGGGCGCTAACACTATCGGAAGTCGCCAGCGACACTGATACAGTGATCAGTAAAAATTGGTTCACTGATCAGTGACACTGGTGACAGGGCAGTGAAGGGGTTAACTGGGGGGGGGGGGCGATCAAGGGGTTAAACGGGATTACTGGTGTACTGGCGGGCAAACTGGCACTATCTGGGAGGGGCGCTAACTCTATCGGAAGTCGCCAGCGACACTGATACAGTAATCAGTAAAAATTGGTTCACTGATCAGTGACACTGGTGACAGGGCAGTGAAGGGGTTAACTGGGAGGGGGGGCGATCAAGGGGTTAAACGGGATTACTGGTGTACTGGCGGGCAAACTGGCGCTATCTGGGAGGGGCGCTAACTCTATCGGAAGTCGCCAGCGACACTGATACAGTGATCAGTAAAAATTGGTTCACTGATCAGTAACACTGGTGACAGGGCAGTGAAGGGGTTAACTGGGGGGGGGGCGATCAAGGGGTTAAACGGGATTATTGGTGTACTGGCGGCAATCTGGCGCTATCTGGGAGGGGCGCTAACTCTATCGGGAGTCGCCTGCGACACTGATCAGTAAAAATCGGTTCACTGATCAGTGACACTGGTGACAGGGCAGTGAAGGGGTTAACTGGGGGGGGGGGGGGGACGATCAGGGGGTTAAATGTGTCCTAGAGTGTTCTAACTGTAGTGTAGTGCTTGTGTACTCACTTTTTGGATGTCTTCTTCTCTGTCTGGAACGGAATGTGTCCAGGCAGAGAAGAATGACATCATATCCTGCCCTGTGTATATGTCAACACAGGACAGGATAGGACAGAAATCACTGGCTGAAATCTAATGATTGATCCCTCCTGGATCAAATCGTGTCACCCGCGGGTCGGCGGGAGCGTGCGCCCCCTGCCGGCGAAAGTGTCGGGAGCGCGGAACCCGTTTTAAAACGTGGTTTTGCGCTCCACTGCCGCCCTGCACACGTATATACACAGTGGCAGGGCGGCAAGCGGTTAATAACAAAACAAATTGCACATGTCTACACTATGATGTAGGTCTGTTTAGCTTTAAAACATACCTGAGATCTTGTTTTCTTGTATAACTATTTTTATAAACTCTAAAGCTGGCCATATATGGCTCAGTTTTTTCATTCAGTCCTGAATGCAACATTCACACATTTGACATGGATGTGGGAATCCTCCTTGATGCGTCATTGTATTCTAACAGCAGAGGCGTCATCAGGACTCCTTCTCTGTCAAATTACACTGATCAACGCTGCAGAGCTGACTGAACTAAAGTTTTCCAGCAAGCCTGTTTGTGAGCAGTCAATCAGTAGATTGACTTCTCTCTAATAGGACTTGCCAACCCAGACAAATTTCAATCTACCCATGGCCAGTTTAAGAAAGACTTAACAAATCCTCATTCTCTCCCTTAAAAACATGACCAAGTATTATTTTTCTATTACTTTGTTCTTGCAGCGACCGATTTTATTACTCCCAAGGACATCATCACCAGGCTTGCAAAATGCCTGCAGGGAGAGTTGCTGGGGTTCCTGTTGGTGTAGACTCTCCCCCAGAACTACACCTCCTAAGGGTCCTTTCCCTACACACGTGTGTGGGTAGGCTCTTGGGAGTAAAGGCAGCAGTATTGTTTTGATGGGAAAGAAATCCTATGTGCATGTGGAGTAGGACAGGGAGGATTGGAGAATAGGAGATGTTATGTACAAGCAGGCAGGAGGGATAATGCTGGCTGGGATTTCAGTGCAAAGTAGGCATTGTATTATCAGTCCAATCAGGA